AACTAGAACTGCCCATCCATTACATCTCAATTTCTGTTATGGAAAGATGAAGAAAGTATGCCTGATTCCATTGGGCAATTCCCATTGCCAAGGCTGAGAAAAAAAGTGTTCAAGGACCTACTTTACCTAAACTGGTGTTTACTGAATAGAAGCACCACTGCTTTCCAAAAGACTGGGTAACAAGAATGAAAACCCTTGGTGTTTTTATTGTCTCTCTCATTCTTGATTATGGGCTGACTGACTTTTCTCACGTAATATAGCAAAAGTATCAAGTGGGCTCTGTCTGGCATTTTATGTAGTTTACCTGCTACTGTGACTTCAGAGAATTTAAAACTTTTCTTTAGTTTGCTGCAGATGCACAGACCTTGATCAAATTACTTTGATTCCTGTATCACAGGTCCTGAACTCTAGCATCTCCCTACCTTGCAGGTAGATTTTTTTTTTGTCTTTAACACAAATATTAGGGAATATGCAGATACCAAGAGCCTTAAGAGTAATGGAAAGGAAATGGGTGCTGCCATGTTCCTCCAGGACAAATCCTGATTAAGTTAGCGGACCTTAGCTGGGCAGGGATTCCTATTGACCACTCTCACAGTGACACATGTCAGTAGTATTTAGGATCAGATTATGTTTTTGATGTGGAAGGGAAGAGCAGTAAATGGCTGCAGAACTGAAAGTATTCAAAGGACTGATTCTGTTTTCCTAGCTGTTTGGCTTTGCTGCCAGCTTTCCTTTCCAAACAGGTAAATCTGAATTTATTTATTGAATTATTTGGAACAGTACTAATGGCACAAATAAAGGAGGATGAAACCGTCCAGTTCCAGTATCAAGTTATTTACACAAAAAGGCTCTTGCTAGAGCAACAGAGCCACATCATCATCTCTTTGTTGTTTGAATTGGGCATATGGGGTTCACAAGACAAGGAGATGTGAAATTAAAACATTTGGACTCTGCTGTCAGCTCTAAAGTGCTTTTCCAGACTCTGGGCGGCACAGGATGCCTTCCACACTTAACCAGCTTAAGCACTAGAAGGAGAAACCATCTAGCACAACTTAAACAGCCTTGAGGTTACCCTAAATATACTGGGAGCATTTGATACCTCTCTGTTTTAGACTTTAAGTTCATGCCTTGATCTTCTGAACCCCCTGATTCAGAACTCGAGAAGTTTGAATAAAGCCACTTTTGTTTTTTCTGCTTGTGCCTCAGGCTTTAATAGGCGAAGTTTTGGTGTCATCTATAGAGAGCAAGATGAAGCTCCTTGTGAATCAGCTCTCACTGGTAAATGACACTGTGAACTTGAGGTTGTTGAACTTCCAACCCTTGTGAAAGTGATTTCAGGTTTATTAGGATTTAGAGTGCAAGCAAATCAATGTGACTGCTATGAGAAGAAAAAAATACTTAAGCACAATATTTTCTCTGAAAACTAAACAGCATTCATTGACAGGTGAGGATTTTAAATGGGAATTTTTCTTTGCTTCCCTCCTTGTCAGACTGCTGTTCAGCTGTCCACATCAAATGCTGATATGCACAAGTACTGAAGGAGGAAAGGGACTGGGGTTTTGCCTTTTGGAAAGGCTATCCACTAAATTCTTTAAATTGTAGAGTCAAAATACAAAATATATATTTTAAATACTTGTGTATCAATATGGGCCCATTTCCACCCCACTCTTCTGAGCTAAAACTGAACCTTGAAACTGCAGAAAAGGGTCTGCAACCAAAATTGCAGATGAAATATTGTTACAATTCAAATGTGATGTTGGCAGAGACAAGATAGAACTAATTTAATTTTTCCTGTCAGTCTCTGTAGTAGATCAATTAAACTGCCAAGTGGATCAAATATTTCAGACTGTATTTGTTACATTAAGTATTTATGTTCAGGCTGAGCATTTAAAGTATGATCTCATATAGGAATACAAGGAGGTTCAGATCAATTCAGCAGAATTTGCTGTAAGTTAATGGAAATCTAATTGTGTATTTTAATTTTGTGTACAGGAGGCAGTAAGTTCCTGAAAGAAAGAAAATGGTACCTTGTCCATATTGTAGCAACTTGATCTAAATCCCATTAAAGTAATATTAGACTGTCATAGATGTTAGTGGAAGCTGGAGCAAGATCTAGGGCTAATGGCTTAACCCTCACTGATTTTGATGGGAGCTAGGTGCCTAAACTCCTCTGAGAATCTGAAATAAGTAGGAACAATTCCTCCCTTCTCCATTGTGGACTTAGAGATACTGCAACAAGATGTAAAAAACCACTGACATCTGCTATATGTGGATGCCTTTTTCTTGGTGAAAGTCACATTGCTGTCCATGTCAGCTGGGCTGACTGGTGGGTAGGTGGAGATCTTGGGCTCCTGAGCTTTTCTTGGCTTTTGTGCCAGAGAAACCTAATAGTTCTTTCTGGACTTACTACCTGCAGGCAGAGGTAATTGTAAGATAGATTCAACATTATTTACAACCTACATTAAGGTAGGGCTAAATCCTACTCTCCTGTATTCTAGCTGGACCCTGGAACAAATGACACTTGTTACTTTACCTTTTTTTTCCATGTGTGAGCTGTTGTCTGCAAGTGTGAACAGAAAAATGAAAGGAATGGTTTATGGGTGAATTATTTCTAGAGGTAGCCTAGTTTCCACCACAGGTAACTGCAGAGCCACTAGGTAATATCAGGTCTAATTATTAATCAAAGATCTTAGGCTGGTACAGAATAGTGATAAATATTTCACCCCTAATAATGAAATAAAAATTATTCTTAAGAGGATGGAGCTGATTCCTGCTCTTTTAAAAAAGGTAAAACACTTTTCTACTTCTCCCCACCTCCCACTAAGCAGACAATATCTGTGCTTGGTTCCATGTTAGGTACTGCAGATGGGCCATCCCTTCCCTCGGTCTGACAGCTGAACAACCACTTTTCAAAGTCTCACTCAGTTTTTGTTAGAAAGGAGCAGCGCAAAGAGCTGAAGCACAGGCAGGCCTCCATGCCTCTGTGTTTCATACCTGAACCTGAAGTTAATGGGGCTTAACAGTAGTGACAAAAAAAAGACTTTGTGGCTTCTGCAGTGAAAGACCTGCTGCAAACTGTATGGACTGTGAAGTGAGGATCTTCCTCTCCTCCTTCTTGGTAAAGCAGTGGCTGTCCAGTACCACTGAAGTGGCTGCAGTTCAACAGAGCAAAAATGACTTTATGGGTGTGGCTGGTAGTAGCAAAACCTTTAAGTTGTGTTACTGAGTGGGTTTTGTTATAAACCTTCCTTCTCAGCTGATCAAAGCAGACACAGATTGAGCTTCCTAGTGCTAAAGCAAAAAATGAAGGATATTAGTCAAGTGCTGAAACTTGCTCGTGCAATATACTTGGGCCCACGGAAATGTTGGCCTGCTGATCATATGCTTTGTCAGAGGAGTATTACAAGAGAAAAGAAGATTTCCCAGTTACATTAATATCTTGTCCTTTGCAGATTCTGGTACTTTTTCCTGAATGTTACCTGCAAGCTGCTAACCTGTGACAATTGCTGTGGAGAAGTCTTGCCAGCATCCTAAAAACAAACAACTGTCTGTCTTCATCCCTAGCAGATGGGTGCTGACCCATTGCTACTGTGAGCAAAAGTGTAAAGAAAGACTACCTGCTCCTGGCAGGTTATTGGTCTCATCACTTGGTCATGAGCCATTTAACTCAAATATTAACTGCAGAAATTAAAGCGAGTCCTTGGCTTGGAAAGATCAGAGGAACACATTGCACTGCATCAGGATGTGCAGAGCTGGCCTATTTCTTTTTTGGGAGGTAGTGTATCAGCAAAGGATGGGCTTTTGCCAGGGCTAGAAAAGGATGTGGAGTTTGTGTGGCCTCTGAGACTCCTGGAAAAATGATATCACAATGTTTCTTACCAGAGAGCAAATCAAAGTAGTAGCTCAGGCATCTCACCCTGTTTCACCTCCCTACCCCTCTAATACATTCTTCTTCATTCAATAGGTGCATATTAGCTAGGTACAGGGTGGCTTTTTGGATGGACTGCATGTCCTGCCAGTGGGCAACCTGTATTTCCAGGTGTGCTTCTTTGGTAACTGGTCCAAATCCCAGTGTTATCAAAGATAAGCCAGAGGAAGAGCCTGTAGTCGTCTGGCTCAGGAAGGTAGCTGGTGGAGTGAGGACTTTCTCTGCCAGTGGGTTGCAGGGGACCCTTTTGGCTTAAAGGGAGAAGCATACTACTTTTACCCTCTCTCTGGTGTTTTATTGCCTGCTTGGAACAGCCCATGTTCCTCAGATGACAGGGTAGAGATAGTTTGGCTCCTCTCTCCTGATGGGACTCTTCAGCCATGTCCACAGCACCAGCTTTAGGTGGCCTTAGCCCACTTCTGGAAGCTGTTCTCTTTGAGGTGTAAGCAGCACAGATACTGGGTGGGTGGAGGTAGAACACTCAGACTCTTCCATGTAGACATGATGCCAGTAGTTGGCGGAGGCCAGGCCAGGGAAAAGCCTACCTCACTTTACAGTGATGCAGGAGAAGGTCATTAGCTCCTGCATAATAACCAGAATATTTTCACCTTTTTCTTTGCAGGTGTAGATGGGTGATGGGACCCAACATATGCAGCTGCCCAAATTGATCAGGCCTGAGTGTGCAGGTTGAGGCCAGGGGGCACCTCCAGCATAGGGCTGATGGTAGCCACAGAGCAGCAGCTCAGCGTGAGAGCAGGGGACAAGCTCAGTCTTGCTTATGGGCAAATCTCACACATAATCTAAACTTCATTGTTCATTTCTGACTCTGCTTGGCCTCACTCACTCTGCTTGTCACCCTGGATGGCTCTCAGTGTAAGATTCTTCACAGAACAGGATCTTGCTTTTCTAGTCCTGAAGCAGAGAACACCTACGTACCCACTAAAGGTCCATAGGGGAGGGATTTGTTGCCATTTGAGACCCCAACCTCATCTTTGCCCTCTCCATATTGACCATGGAGGGAACAGTCAGACCTTCCCCATCAGTGATGGTGCCTTGTCTTCTTCCTCCCCAGGGAGCCCGCTGTGCTCATGCTGCGTTCCAGACCCCATGGGCCTCTCCTTCCTGCCCACCTATGGCTGCCAAAGCAACCGCACCGCCAGTGTGGCCGCACTGCGTATGAAGGCCCGGGAGCACTCAGAGGCTGTGCTCCAGTCTGCCAACCTCCTGCCAGCCACCAGCAGCAGCCCCACTCCTCCCACCAAACCTGGCCCTGAGGGCACCCAGGACAAGCAGCCTCCTCCAGCCAAGGAGCACATGGAAGGGGAGAAGAGCGTATGAGACCGGACTGGTGCCAGCCCCTCAGCTCAGGGCAGGGACCCGCTGCCCAGGCTCTGCCACAGGGTGAACTGCAGTGTGGCCGTACCCCACCAGGACATCATGGGGCCACCAGGGACCCAGCAAATCCACGTGGCCACTTTCATGCACCCTTGCTTCTCTTGCACTGCTGTAGGTTCCTTCCCTGATTTATTGGCACTATCTGTGTTTGGAAACGTTTGTGAAACTGTTTTTAGCTCCCCTGCTCCACATCCCAGGGACACGGAAACACCCAGGATCCTGGCTTGCTCCTGCACATCTCGGCTTCCTATCCTGCATGAGATAGAGGGCTGGCAGCAGGGCAGCACTTCCAGATGCGAGATCTGGGGCAGGAGAGGCATCCAGGCATCATTTACCCCACTGTGCACAGCAGAGGTGAAGGAATCTGCAGGTATATGCCAATTTGTCCTGCTGTTTTCTGACGGCATTTGACTTCAACCCAATCTATCCCAGGCGAGCCAGGTGTAAGAGAAGCAGAAAATACAGTGAAGGTCTTCATGATTTTTTCCTTCTCCTTTTTTTCCCCCCAAAATGAAACTTTCCATGGAGTAGATTACTGGGAGATTGCTGAGATCAGTTCACCTGTGAATAAAATCCTTGCACTAGTCTCTATGTGAACCTTAGTCTGTTACTGTTGCCATTCCCTGGGTTAGACATAAAAGACATAACTCCAGAGCAGCATTCATAGCTTCAAATGATAACAATGGTATTTAATGGAGAGTGCACAAAGCTAGGGGTATTTTAGCATCATTCTCTTAGAAAGAAAGACTAGAAAACAAAATAATCCTGCATTGCAACACTGCGAATATGTCCTTGCATGTTTTGTTTTCAATAAAGAGGAAATAAAGCTTGGAAGGCTATTCCTTTATGCCATCCAAAATCAGACTATTCCATTCACTGAAGGCTTGTTGTAATGAATCTAGATATGAAAATGTCTTAATTATAACCAAATGGGCACAGTGCAAAGGAGAAATTGGTGCCTCAGGAAATGCAGTCTTATCTCTGACTCAGAATTCCCCAAAGCAAAGCAGACTAAGATCTGATGCTCCAGAGCAGACATTTTGATATGGGGTGCCCCATATTTTTTCCATGTGAAATGCACACACAAATTTCAAACTTAGTGACATAGACTTGCTTTTCTCAGGTGGCTTTTGCAGACTCCTTAGTCTTGTCCACAAATGTTCCTGAAGAACAGGGTGAAAACACTGCTTTGAGACTTGACCAAGAAGCCTGGAGGCTACTGGAAGGATTCCTGTCAGCTCTGATCCCTCATGTTGTACTGAGGACCTCCTGCAATGTGCTGAGCACATGCTTTTACACAGGGTTGTGTTTGGCTTCTCACAGGATCTGAGCTTGGGAATGTACTTGGAAAGGCAGTTCTGAGTAAGATTGGCAGCAAAATTTTTCCCCCACGTGATCTTATCCTATGAATTTTACAGAACCTGGGGCTTCTGTGGTGCTTGCAGGACCCTCCAATACCCTTGGTGCACACCTTCCTTTCCTGAGGTAGGGCTTGGTGTCAGTACCCATTCAAAGGGTGCAAGCCCTGATCTTCAGGGGGTGGTTTGGCAGCACTAAGCACCTTCATTGCTCCAGGAGTGAAGGGTACCAGGCACTCCTCCCAGGGTAGGATTTGTGTCTTCTGGATACAAACGATGAGGGCATTGCTGGGTCTGTCCTTGGATCCAAGTACAAAATAAAGTCTGACAGGGCCCACATTCATCAAATGGAGTAATTTTTCTTTTCTCTTGCCATATCATGTGTTTCCTTTAACAATCCTTTAACAATCCTGAACTGTCCTAATGGCAGGGGAGAACATGCAGTTGTCTGTGATCTGCCTTTGTGTTCCAGCTTCAGGAGCTGCTCTGCTAAACCGTAGGTGGACGTGGTTTCTCTGGCTGCAAATTATGGCTTAGTTTTAATAGGAGCAGCAACCTTTTTCTTCCAACAAAATAAAATAGATGGCTGTGTGTTTTGTAGTGGGGAGTGGTTGGAGAAGAGAGAATCACTGTTTTTCTAGTGATCTTCCCTATCATAATATTTTTGTGCCCCCTGTTCAAAAAAAGATTAAAATAAAATTTCCACTCCAAAGAGGCAGGACCAACTTCATTTCAACATAATTACCTTGCATTCAGTTGAACTTCAGCCCTTCTGTACACTAACTCTTCAATCTAATTGTTTGATTAAACTCGTATTTCCTCCAGAAAGGTACATAAATAAGTGAATTGTTGAGCAAATTAAGAATACTTAACAGCATTGCATCTGAAAAGTAGTTACGCTGATTAAATTTTCTGTCCTTGAGGATTTTCAGGAAATTACTTTTGATCGTCAATAACACAATTAAGTAAACTACACACACATTAGCATGAATAATTGATAAGAAATTATGTATTACCACGAAGCACTGATTTAATAATTCATGATGCGACACTCTAGTGACTGTGCAAAACTGGATAACATCGAGAAATCTGCCTGATGTTGCTGGAAACGCTGCAAATACAAACAAGTCCATAGTTTTGTTGTACAACAAAGAAAAGTATCTGATGCATGCTGTAGTTTCTGTTTGTTTAATACTTGAATAAATTTAGAAAGAAGACCCTGAAAATTCCTGTACTGTTTTCATTCGGATCAATTTCTGTCCAAGCATCTGCTCTCACATTGATGACTGTCCAGTTCTGCTTAGACAACAAAGATGCTGCGGAGTGGGGGAGACTCTCAGATTCAAAGCTGGAACCTGCTGAGTGTCCCATGGCTTGCAAAGTCAAGGGGTCTCAAAGGTTTTTCAGAACGTCCTGTTAAGGAGCAAAGCAGCATTAGTTCCCTGTAAGCCTGAGCCCGAAGTCTTTTAGATTCTTCAGTGTCTGATGTGTCTGTGATTATAATTATTCAGTATGATTTTGTGGGTGGTTGCTTTAAGTCAGCCATAAATGAAACGTTCAGATTTGAGTATTCTGAGTCTGCACAATGCCAGGTTAAAGCCTAGGCTATGTTGCCAACAACCCTTGCGACATCCCCAGGGGAGGCAGGTACGCATATACATTCTCATTAGCATGTTGGGGAACCCAGGGCATGATGAGCCACATTTTCCTTTCAGGTTTTGGTCTGAGACCAGTTTGCTCAGGGCAGCACAGCCCAGGGGAACTTGCTTGAGGTCACTGAGCAGTAACAGAAGGGCAAGACCAAAACTCAAGAGATCTGTATCTCTGTTGTGCCTGCTTCTAGCCACCAGACCCTGCTCCCTTCCAGATATACTGTCCACAGTGGATAAGCCACCTGCCTTCTTTCTGCACTATCATATATCAGGGCTATGCCACCTAAACCACTACTCTAATGATCATCTCAGTAGCTTTGATTAAGTCTGGCATTTAAAAGTTTATAACTTGGCTATAAAAATTCACTCAGGCTGAACCCCAGCATGAGAGGCTCAAGCCCAAGGGGATGATTTACATGTGAGCTATTCCAAAATCAGCCTGTGTGATATTTTTTTCAGTTCCGTGAAGGAAAGATGGAAGCCCAAGTTTTGAGGGAGGGAGGTAAGACAAAGATGTTTTGTTTAACAGCTTCCTGTTGTCACTAGACCCCATTCTCTGTGAATTTCCATACTAGCATGAGCCACACATAGCATGGATGGACTCTGTGCATATGACACTTGCATGATTTTTGCGAAGCATCTCCCATCCCAGGCTCTTTTCTCAAGAAATTGCAGTCACCCACAATGGCCAGATTTCCCCTCATCCCCCACCTTCCCTGCTCAGGCCATCTCCCAACATCCTCACTCACAGCTCTGCAGAAAGCTTGAGGTCCCGCTTTCAGCTCTGGTGCTGATTCTCAGCTTGTGCTATTCCCATGCCCCAGCCCCTCTGGCCCTGGGCACATCCCTGTGCCAGTGCTGAGCCCAGCACCAGGCAGAGACAACTGGGAGCTGGTGCTCAAGGTGTATGCGTGGGGTTATTGCAGCACATTAGTCTGGGTTTCGTTAACGAGGGTTAATGCAAAGCACCGGGCCATGGCACCTTCTTTATAAGGTCGCATGCCATTCTCTCAGCTCTCCATGCTTTTTATCTAGTGCACATCTATTTAGGCCTCCTTATGCCTACATCATTATAGCAGGAAACGCGGAGCAGAGGATGCTCCTTTGCTCAGTTATGCCGTAGGCTAGTCCTTTCTGCACTGCATGCTGGATATAATGAGATTGTTAGGCTAATTGGCTCTTTATTAAGAGTATTATTTACAGTGATGCTGAAGGCCATGTGCATGCAGGAAAAGATCTTGGTATACCATTAAACTCTTCCCTTCTGCAGTTGGTGCCCTCCCCTCAGTGTTCCCCACAGGTTGCTCCCCTTAGTGACCTTCTCTGCTCCTCTGAGAGGTCTCCCCCATCCCATGTCAATGCCAGGGCGAAGAGCCTGCCCAGTAGGGCTGTGTCTCTGGGAAGTTCACTTCTGCTGCATGCCTAAGCTTTCTGCTTCCCTGCAGCAGAAAGAAGCCATATGTGGGAGGAAGTCGTTTGCTGCTGGTGGACCACGAGGGAGCAGGGGATGGAGATGAAATGCTTGTGGTGTGCTGCCGTGTCAGAGTCTCCCTCTAAAAGAGCTGTTATTCGATAAAGATCCTGTTATGCTTATCTGTCTGTGTGGTGGAAGCAGTGTTTGAAGCAGGAAGTGAGAAGCCCTGAATAGATACCCAAGCTCTGAGTACATAATTCAGACCTCGCCGCTGAAGAGTTTGACACCCCTGCCATAAATAAAAGAGCAGTAGAGTACAATAAACACTGCTTTATTCTTTCCAGTTAAAAACTTCCTTTGCACTGTAGTAAAATATTGACTTCAGGTGACCATATTACCACAAAATATGATCTTTTACTGATCAAAACCAAAGAAGCCATTACATAGATCTTGCCCCTGAGAGTAAAAGTTTCATTGGCATATAGCAAATCCAGCCTTATCTGGGAGTGATGTGTCAACAATATTTTAATAATACAACCACAACGTCCTTGTGGCCTGCCCTAAGCTCTCTGACACAAGGTGAGTATGTGCTGGTCTGCTGTCTCGGAATTTTGAGCATCATTTTTTTGGGGTTGTGAAAAGTCTTCTGTGGTAAACTCATCTTAGTTAAAACTGACCAGGATTTAAAGAATTGTCCTGCATAACTTTTCCAGCATTTAACTTCGATGGCTTCTTCTGCAGTCAGTGCTTTTGCAGTACTGCTGTAAATATTCATAACATGAAGCAGAGAAGGATAAAACCCACCACCATCTGTGTTGTTTTAGCCAAGAAGAGTTCTCACATGCAGAACAACAAAAGTCGGCTCTTTATGCAGTCTGAATCACTTTCATATCTAATGCCCCCCCTCAGTTCTGTGTTGATGGGCGCGGAAGGTGCCTTACAGCATTGGAGCTGTTTCTGGTCTCAGACAATTAACAGTTTACCTAAGTTACCTTACAGTCCGCTGGAGTACCTGAGACTGTGACCGCTCCATACAGAAGAAATGCCTGGGCTGGTCTAACAGCAGGGTGACTGTTACTGCCCCGTTTTCTAAGCCCCAGCACAAGAAAGAGTAATGCTGTATACTGGTGGACATTTGTAACTATGTCATCCTTCACAATCTACCCATCTTCCGCCCCATGGATGGCCTGGACTTCTATGGCTTTTTAGCTGCCTAGGTCTATTC